AATTTCAATATTGAACATCGCGGAGTGATTGCTGTAGTAGGGTATCCTACTTTTAGCAAAGGCCCTTTTCTTCGTTGTTCTTGTCACAACAGCAAGGTTCCCAAAATGGCGGACACAACACGACGGACTGAAGAACACATGGCCATTTCTTTGCTGGTTTTCTCGTAGAAAACCAAAAGAAACACTACAATCTGTATAGTCATATGGTTTCACCGTATGATTTCGGAGCGATAAGAACAAGAACCATAAAAAACCACAAGCAAGTCAAAAGGATATTTGGCAGAGCAGCACTTGCACGTCCGACCGCCATTGAACACTCAGAGTTCAAGCAACTTGTGGGATATTTTGACAAACATAACCTGCTTTGTAAGTCACAATCAGGCTTCAGAAAGAGACACTCCACTGAAACAACTGTCACGTATTTCTCCGATGAGATTCTCATGAATATGGACAAAGGCAGGGTAACCGGTTCTGTATTCATCGACCTAGCAAAGGCCTTCGACACGGTGGACAACGACATCTTGATTCAGAAATTGAGGTTCTATGGTGTGGGCGACGGAAGTCTCTTGTGGTTCAAGAACTACTTCTCTGGAAGACGGAAGTTTGTTTGTGTAGACTCGCAATCATCTGAAGAGCTGCGAATAACATCTGGAGTACCACAAGGCAGTATTCTAGGGCCGCTTTTATCCATTGTTTATATCAATGATTTACCTCGTTGTATGGAACATTGCTCAGTAAATATGTATGCTGATGACACAGCCTTGTACTTTGGCGGGCCAACTGCTGATAAAGTTAATGATATTTTAAAAGAAGACCTTGAACGTCTGAGCCAGGGTGGCTCTTCGACAACAAACTAGTGCTGAACGTTACTAAGACAAAGTGTATGTTATTTAAAACTCAAAGACACATAGAACAAAATAAACAATTAAGTTTAAATCTCCTTGATCAGAAGATAACTACCATAACTACTTTTAAATACTTAGGCGTAGTGTTCAATAACTTTATGACCTGGAAGACTCATACGGACTCTCTGTGAAAAAGTAGCTACTAGAGTCAACATTTTGAACTGTAATAGAGGTTGCGTAACAAAAAAAGCAGCAGTTCTTGTATACAATACAGTTATTCTTCCGATTTTTGATCATTGTGACGTAGCTTGGAGCAGTTTACTCCAACAAGACCAAGACAGATCACAGCGCCTCCAGAATAGATCTGCTCGCATCATTGCGCTTTGGGCACGCTCTGCTGAGGCAATGGAGTCTTTACGCTGGTCTTTACTTTCATTGAGACGCTCCTATCATAAGGCAATTTTGGTTTTTCTCTGTCTCCATTCAATAGTCCCGGATCACTTTTTGTCTTATTTTACCAGATTTAGTAATGTACGTAACTACAACACTGGAAACAGCAATAGGCTATGGTTACCGAAGGTAAAACGCAGTTTTGGAAAAAGCTGTTTTATCTATTGTGGTGCTAAGTTGTTTAATGACCTTCCTTCAAGTGCCGTGAACTCTGGCAATCTGCAAACCTTCTCTCAGTTGGCTAGGAATTTGTTTTTTAATTAGTAGCGGTATAACATTTTAGGATTATAAGCAGCATTAGTATTATTGACTTTATTTAGTAATATAATATTATATTACATTATTTAAATCCTTTGGGTCAGTGTTAGGAAAAGGCAGTATTTTAGTAAAATTTTAGTAAAACAATATATATGTATATATGTGTGCGTGTGTGTGTATATATATTTATACATTAGTCGAAGAATCAAGGAGGACGCATCGATTGTCTGTTACTCTGGGTTTCGCGCCGAAGCGCTCGTCAGAAAGAATTTTATTCAATAAAGAACATACCTCCTTACATATAATAGTTAATTAATTCGCTGGTGCGATGAAATAAATAAATAAACATTTTCTGGGGCTATTGTTGGCGGCTTGTGAAATTTGATAAGTAACATTTATTCTCGTGGCGGCATTTAGAAATAAGTTCTGTTCTTTTGGTTACTATGAATATATGAAGTTCATATATTTTGAACTGCGGTATTAGATACGTATGATACACGATCCTCGCAGTAGAGAGCGCTATTTGTGCAATAGCGAAAATCAGACCTGAAAAAAATCAGGCCTGTACGGGATTCGAGCCACTGACCTCTGCGATACTTGCACTGAGCGCTCTACCAATTGAGCTAACAAGCCAACTGGGAGCAGGCCGTACGTTAAGTTGATTCGTAATAAACCCGGGATGATAAATCAGATACAATGAATATATGAAGTTCATATATTTTGAACTGCGGTTGTAGATACGTATGATGCACGATCCTCGCAATAGCGAAAATCAGACCTGAAAAAAATCAGGCCTGTACGGGATTCGAACCACTGACCTCTGCGATACTAGTGCAGCGCTCTACCAATTGAGCTAAAAAGCCACTAGGAGCAGGCCGTTAAGTTGATTCGTAATAAACCCGGGATGATAAATCAGATACAATGTATATATGAAGTTCATATATACAGGCCTGATTTTTTTCAGGTGTGATTTTCGCTATTGCATAAATAGCGCTCTCTACTGCGAGGGTCATGCATCACACTTATCCAATACCGCAGCTCAAAATATATGAACTTCATATATACATTGTAACTGTTACACTAATCACCTACTTTGCCTAACATTACCGCAGACCGACTATGTCTCTGGCGCAAAATTTAATGAACAAAGCCTAACGAAAGCGAGAGGCTTAATTTGTAAGCTATTATTAAACGACACAGTTGGTTGGGTTTATCGGCCGTCAGCCCTGTTGTATACGATCTTCACGCGAGTAATGATGGTAGTGAATTCGTGAATCGCAAGAATTGTACAGGTATGTATTTACATTCTACAGATGCTAAAAATTTGTGACGGATAGATAATCGCTTTCTGATAAACAAGAGCTAGAACGCTGACTCTCTAAGTTTGCTTCCTTCATTTAAATCGAATTGGTCGAAGGGAAATACGTCTCTGCATAACATTTAGCCGAACTTGGGTTTAGTTTAACCATTCAGAACTTTGATCACTCCCGAGTACGGACCAACTTCCTTTTTACCATCATAATCGCCAGTTACGGTATTCTTCTTGTTGTCAATATAAGACTCCAGCTCGGTGCGAAGGACGATCAATCCACACTGAGTGAGACACAATTTCTGACGCAAAAACAGACGATTAAAGAGGCAGCAAATGACCGTCAAATAAGTCTACACAGCCGTTTAGAAGAATATTAGGGACGTTGGAATTATTATGACAAATAATATTCAGTCACGTCCGTGGAGAATTATGAGCGTGACCAAGTATGCAGTGGACGTGCTCAATACACTTTAGCCTGATACTCTGATAAAAACTTGTCTGATGCAGTGGAAGCCTAGTTCGGAATCAATGTGTTCAAGGTTTTTTTTTCAAACTTTCGGCTGCCATTTTCAATTTTGTTTTTCCCTTTTGGTTTTTTATTTTTTCATTTTCGCTGAAGTGAGTGACATGTGTAATCGAACCCATCACAATTACTGCCTCCGTCTGTGTCTCCTTTATTCAAGGCTCTGGGAAGCCATGCATATCCAATCTACATTCATAAATTCTGAAAAACGCATTGAGAATGTACATGAAATGATATGAATGCGACTAAGAGGCTGGAACATCCTCCGATTGCTAGCTGTCGCATATACCTAAATTAAATTACAGAAAGTACGATTTATAATCAATTCATTTAAGCTCGAGTAAGAAATCTCAATGTAGCACGGAAAAGTAGCTGATTGAAACATTCGATGCCACGAATTCGGTTTCAGTTGGAAAAACGCATCTAAATTTAATCTATCACAAAGTATTATAAACTCATCTACTCCTTTTTTGATGTGGTAAGTCTCAACGTTTTTATATTTCCTATGAAGCTCAAGGTGCAGTAACAACGACATGGATTACTTCTTAGTTACAATCGTTACCTTCCTGCAGATTTTAAACTTCCTCTCAGCGGATAAAGGTATGAAATGTAATGCTGTAATACTTTCCAATAACTAACCAAGGTTTCCGTACGGTTTTATTTTAATACAAATTTCAAGTCAACGATGAAGCACACCGTCGTACGCGAAAATTGGAAAAACAAGGATTCAATCCTTGGTTTTGAGAATTGGTTTCCTCCTCACAACATGAATTCCATCCTCGGAGACCCAGGGGCTGAGAAGATTTCAAGTTAGGGCATGAAGAGCCCCTGGGGACATTGTCTTACAAGACTAGTTCCAAACGGTCGCAGTCGTTCTGCCATCTGATTGGTGCCAGAAAATCTTTGTGTTTTTCTGCCCAATCAGAGTGAGGTGTGCTTTAGAGTCCTTTCGTGTGTTTTAACACGGACATATACTTGTAGCGCAGTTGCTCGCCATGTTTGTTTGGACCGTGCGACAGAGATTTGCTTGAGGTGAAAAGTTTCAGTCTCGGCACACAACGTAAGAGAAATCGATCAGATTGTCCGCGAAAATCTTACCGGAAATTATACTGAATACTTTCGCAGGTATCACTAGAGAACGTGTTTTAAAGTTCGCGAGGTTTGTATACCACACGATGGTTGCAGTCATTGATATGTCGCTTTAAACGATAAACGAGATTTAAACTTAAATCTTTCTAGATTTTTTGCATAATTTGCTGTGACTGAAACTTTGCCAATCCCGTGAAGTTATTTCGTCGCACGGGCCACGCAGGTATGTCGAGCAACTGGCGCTTTCGCCTACGTAGCTTTCTGCTTTCTCTGCGCGCCAAAATCTAATCTTAGTAGTAAAGTCATTCACAATACGGCCAAGG